TCGTTTCAAATTGTTAGTCTTATGGTGTGGGAAATACTTGTTGAAAAATGTCGTCGTCATTTCTTCCCACGTACCAATAGACCTGGGCCTAAGAGAATACAGCCAGCTTTTAGCCTTATCCTTCAGAGAGAAAGGGAAAAACTTCAATCTGACAGTGTTTGCGGCCTCAGCACGGCTGTGAAAGGTGGCCACCACCTCTTCAAACTCCCGGATGTGTACATATAGGTTCTCATTCTCTAATCCGTGAAAGGTTGGGAGAAGTGCAATCATGCCCGGCTTGAAATTCGTAGGTGGTGCATTCGGTGGGAACATGATGCAAGATGGGGTGGCCGTGCGCGTTGGGTGCAAGTAATCTTGCAACGTCCTCTGTTGAACTTCCTCGTGTTGTGCCATTGCGAATAGATTTTGAAATGCGAATTCCAACGACGAGTGCGAAGACGGAAACGTAGAAGACGAGTCGGCTAGAATTTCACTAAGGGTTTCTAAATCTGGACGTTGAGCAAATCTCCCTAGTTCGTCTCTATATCGATGCATTCACCCTAAGCGGCTCTTTTTTTTATTTTTTTATTTTTGTTTATTTTTGTTTATTTTTGTTTTTTTATTTTTAATTAAAAAGAAAATGATTATATAGTAACGTAATTGTAACCACCGAGAGTGCTCTCAGGAAAAACTATAGCTCTTGGCTCAATGAATAGTCTCCTAGACAGAGCAACGTTCATAGGAAAGATTGGTGGGGCGAGGCCTGCTTAAGTACCAACTTTCCTAGACAGAACTCCCTCAGATTATACTTTCCACGTAACCACACAATTATTCTCAAAATCAATTATTAAATTTTATTGAGTAAATTATGAAATGTAATCTAATTAATGGAAACTATTCCTAAAGTCAAAAAACTAAATCTACCAAATTATGAAAATCCTAGATTAGGAATCTAAATTAGTCAATTAATTACCATCTTAATTATAATCCTAAAAATTAATAAAACTATAAAAGGAAAAATTAAATTAGGCAACAATTAAAATATACAAATGAGGAAACAAAATAAAATCTTAATTTACCAAAAATAAAAGATTACAAAATCAAATCACAATTAATTTTAAAACTAAAAAGGAAAATAAAATTAACAATAAAAACAAATCCTAAAAGTGTGAGATTTTTTTTTAATTTTTAGAAACAAGACTACGAGAATTAAAAAAAAAATGAAGAACGTAAAGTAAGAAAGAAAGGAGTACAGCAAACGCAAGTTTTTTTTTAATATATATATATATATATATTATACATCTACTAAAAGAAAGGATGGGATTCACTATTCATGCTACAGTGCTATGAACAGTGTCTTTCCCGTTTTAGCCCTGATTTTTCCTTCTGATGAAATTTTAATTACCGTCGTGTCCTGAGAGTAAAATGACGATATGACCTTTCACTAGAGATTTTTGTGTGCGTATTTGTCATGACCATTTTGGTCATTTACTGTTTTTCTGCTTATGTCTTTTGCCCATGATTCATTTGCTTCATTTCACTTTTATCTGTAGCCTTTTCTCTCTCTTTCTCCTCCATTTCTTTCCTTCCGTCATATTCTAGATTCTTCCTTCATCGAGACAGAGCCTGAGTTTTTCCCCCTATTTTCTATTTGTTGATTTCCGCCATTTTTCCATTATTTCTTCATGTTGTCATTTACGCCTTTTGTTGCTTTGCTCTTGCAATCTTCATTTTTTTTTAACTGAGATTGAGGATTTTTTTCTTTTTCCCCCTTTTCTCCGTTTGTTTTCCTCTGCAACCTTTTAGATCTGTTTTCCTTTTTGCATATTTGGAGCGATTAGGGTTATGTTTTTTTTTTTTGGCTTGTTTGTTCCTATGATTTTCTACATTTATGTTTATCTCCCTTTGTTTCTGGATCTACTTTTTCCCCTTTTGGTTTTTTCTTTCTGAAACCCTTTAGATTCCTCTATTTTTGTAAATATTTGTTCATATTTCTTCGTTTGTCATATTTGTTCTGTTTTTAAATTCTGAGATTTTTTCCTTCTTGCCAGATCTAGATCTGCTTATATCCTTCCGTACCTGCATTGAACAGGCTTATATTTTCTTTGGGTTCGTTCGTTTCTATGATCTTCTACATATATATTTATCTTTACAGTTTCTAGATCTATATTTTTATATTTATTTTTTTTTCTTCTTCAACCTTTTAGATTAGTCTATTTTTTTAGGTTTTTTATTTGATTTCTTCGTTCTCTAAATATCTTCTTCCTGCAACTCTCTAGCCTTTTTTTCCCCCTCACTAGATTTATTGTGGCTGCATCTCCTTTTTTTTTTTTATGGAAATATTGGTATTGGATTTAAATCAAGATATTGGTATTGGATTTGTTTCTTTTTTTTTTTCTTTTGGGGTATTTTTTTTTTATGATTTTGCTACTTTAATTTTTTATTTACTTATTTTGGTATTTTTTTGTATGTATTTTTTTTACTGTTTCTTCTATATATTTTTCATTCTATCTGGGTTTTTTTTCCTTAAATTTTGTTGCTTCACTTTTTTCCTTTGCCGCTTAATTTTTCCATTCTTTCGTTACTTTTTTAATCCTCTTTTTCATACTATTATTTATTATCTGTATATATTTTATTTTTTCTCTTTAATATTTTGCTATCATTTTGGATTTATTTACTTAAGTTTTTTCAATGTGCATTTTTTTCACTTTGTGTAATTTTTTTTTCTTTATTAGTTATTTCTAATTTTTTATTATAATTGTTATAGTTTGAGGTGTATAATCAATTTTGTTTCCCGTTTTGTATAACATATATCTAATATGTTACTGTCAGTTATCTATTGATTTTATTTTGCGGTGGAACTCATACTTGATGACATCTGCCGTAATATACTTATTATTCTAATTGATATTTATTTGCAGGTGTTTATATGCGAGATTGCGTATGGTTATTTAATGTTTTATCATGACACATATACTTTATCTCTTTCACTTCTGTTTAATACAAATCTAATATTTTACTGTTAGTTTTTTATTGGTTGTATTTTGCGGTGCGATCCATGCTTAATGACACTTGCCATAGTATAATCATTACTTTTGTTTATATTTTTTTGCATGTTTTGGTTTTAGTCTTTTATCAAGATTTCAGTTACCTCATGTCTATATATATGTGTTCGTTTTATGTTTTTTCTTTACCTCTCATATTTTATCCTTTCTAGCCTCATCTGTTATCTTACAACAGTAACTCCGAAGAGTCTCCTTTACAATATTTAGAAAGTATTATTCGTATTAGACTTTTTTTACTACCTATTTGATAATCTGTTTCTTTTCCATTCCCAATATTTGGTCTTCTCTTATATCTTCTCTACTCGGCGTACTTATTTGTAAAAGGTAATATATCTTTTTCATCTCTAATTTTTATTCTGTTTTTAAGAGTCTATATTTTTTAAAGTATTTTACTATATGTTGGTGATGATGATGTATTTGTCTTCTATTATTATGAGCATGTATCATATGACTATTAATAGAGACTTTGCTATTTTTGCTGTTGCCCGAGTAATTATGGTTTTATGCCTTTATCTTTTAACCGTTTTATTGACATTTATTGATATTTTCCATAAATTCTGTAATAACTTAGATGGCAGCCAAAAACGTTGCTAGGTTCTGTTTTAGTTCCATATGATATATATATATATATAGGTAAGATTAAAAGATAAATACCTGAATCAACTAACTAATAAATATTTTCATATTTTATTTATGTTCTCTTGACACTAAAATTAAATACTCACTGCAATATTTTTTATGTATAAGAGTTTAAATGGATTCTTTTACACTGAATTAAAGAATGTCAAAGAAGAAATTGTTTTATTAATAGTGAGTTGGTTGTTTTTACTGCTGTCTAATTTATTTTTGTTCTATAAGTTTATCTATAAGAGTTTAAATGGATTCTTTTATACTGAATTGAAGAAAGTCAAAGAAGAAATTGTTTTATTAATAGTGAGTTGGTTGTTTTTACTGCTGCCTAATTTATTTTCGTTCTATACGTTTATCTTTTAACTTTTGTATTTTAAGAAGACTCCTCTTTAAGGAGACTCCTCGGAGTTACTGTTCTATACATTTATATGTTTTGCATAAGTTGTGTTTTACTTAATCTCGCTTCTAATTGTTTTTCCCTTTACATATGTTAATTAAAATGAGTGTCTTTGTTTTCTTCTTTACTGAACTCAGACAATATCATAGGAGAATTTGTTCTATAACTTGACGGAAAACGTGTATATCATGTATTTATTAAGCTAGGTATATTGTACAGACTATTTAAATTTCACTTTTTTA